TGGCAACCAAAAGTTTGCTTTGTAAGTCAGTGAGTCCGTGTAACAAATTTTTGTATGTTGTGTTTTCATTTCTATCCAGTCCAAAGTACTTTCTAATATTTCTTTTTGATTTCTTTGATGTACGAGTTATTTAGAAGTATATTAATTGGTTTCCAAATATTTGAGGATTCTCCAGAAATTTTTCTGTCATTGATTTTTAACTTAATTTCATTGTGGTCAGAGACCATATGTTATATTTTAATTCCTTTTTCCATTTAATAAGTCATGTCATGGTCATCTTATTAAATTTTTATGGAGATTTGAAAACATATTCTACTCTTGAGGAGGCAGCAATCAAGTCAAATTGGTCAAAACTGTTTTTTCAGGTCATTTATATCCTTACTGATTTTTTTATCTGCTTGTTCTCTAGATTCTTGAAAAATAGATAATGACGTTTTTACTATAATTGGGGCTTTCCTGGTGGTTCAGACAGTAATATTTCTATTTTCTATTTCTCCATTAATCTTCATTCCTTTGGTCCTTTTTTCCAACTAACATCATTTTCCTTCTGTGTAAATTGTCTTTAACAATTCTTGTAGGATGAGTCTGCTAATGATGCATTATTTCATATTTGTTTTGTATATCTTAAAAGATATTTACTTAGCCTTTATTTTTGAGGGGTACTTTTTCTGGATTTAGAATATAAAGTTGACAGATTTTTTCACTGCCTTTAAAGATGCTGTTCCTGCTGCAAAGTGCTAACGCTCACTTTGGGCTCCTCGGGGAGATCCCAGACCCTTCTAGTCCAGAGCATGGTTTGAGGTGCTGAAGGCACTGCTTGTCCTTGGGAACTGCAGGTGTCGGAGGCACAGCAGCTCCACCAAAACCTGGCTCTCCAAGGCCAGCGTGAAAATATCGAATCACTTAACCCTCACAACAGCCTCTTGAGGTATATACTATTATTATCCGCATTTTACACATGAGGAAACTGACATGCGGAATAAGTTTATGGAAAAGGCACCTTCCTTTGGATACTTTAAGTTTTGCCCCTAAACAGTAGTTCTCAAAGTGTATTCCTGGGAGCCAGCAGCTTCAGAAAGCAGGTTGGACATGCAGATTCTCCTTTTTTTTTTTTTTTTTTTGGTCAAGCCTTGAGGCTCCTGAAATCTTAGTTCCCCCAAGGAATTGAACCCATGTGAAAGTGCCAAGTACTAACCACTGGGCTACCAGGGAATTTCTCATATTCTCTTTCTTTCTCCAAACATTTATAATCAGAAACCCCAAGGATGGGTCTATCAGTGCTATTGCTTGCCAGCCAGTTGTTAAATATTTCCATTATTAGAATTTAAATCATACAGACCTGAAATTAAATAAATTATATTAAAAACAAAGATAATCAATGGATAAACAAGGTCCTACTGTATAGCACAGGGAACTATATTCAATATCTTCTAATAAGCCATAATGGAAAATAATATGAAAAAGTGGATACATATATATATGTATGTATATATATGAATACATATATATATTCAGTTATATATATAACTGAATCACTTTGCTGTACATATAAAACTAACATGACATTGTAAATCAACTATACTTCAATAAAATAAATTTTAAAAATAACTATAACAAAAGTAATCAGTCCTCAAAATGTATCATCCCCAATTGTTTGACTTCATTTACTACTGTTTGTGCTCAGGGACATCACTTTGCTGACAAAGGTCCATATAGTCAAAGCTTTGGTTTTTCCAGTGGTCATGTATGGATGTGAGAGTTGGACCATAAAGAAGGCTGAGCACCGAAGAATTGATGCTTTCAAACTGTGATGCTGGAGAAGACATTTGAAAGACCCTAGGACAGCAAGGAGATCAAACCAGGAAATCAACCCTGAATATTCATTGGAAGGCCTAATGCTGAAGCTGAAACTCCAATACTTTGGCGACCTAATGTAAAGAGCCAACTCACTGGAAAAGACCCTGATGCTGGGAAGGCTAAGGGCAAAAGGAGAAGGGGGCGACAGAGGATCAGATGGTTGGATGGCATCATTGGCTCAGTGGACATGAGTTTGACCTAACTCAGGGAGATAGTGAAGGACAGGGAAGCCACACACAGGTGTGTGGCAGTTCATGGGGTCACAAAGAGTTCGACATGACTTAGCAACTGAACAGCAACAGAACAGAGCCTGTTGACCACTATCATGTTTGTGTAGCAGGAATACTGCAGTAAATTTCTTCTCGGAGTCGCATTCAATGATGACATGAATCTGGCCATGGGGAGTAAATCACAGAAGTTGGCAGACACTGCATATCAGATTGCCTTGTTTATGTCAGAGAGCCTGTTGTTAAACATTTACCACAACACCACCAGACATAGTACTCTGTTTTAACAAGACCTAGGGTGACTCTGATGCCTGCTCAAGGTTGAAACCTAGCCCAAGGATGCTGGAGGCTTCATACTGACTCCTATGTGTTTTTCATCACAAATATCATGCCGGAAACATAAAAGCCATTTCTGAGGCCCCTTCGCAATGATGAGAGCCACACTGGGATTCTGATTGAGCATTGATTGGTGGGTCCCAGAGCCTGGTGGCTCTCCAGGCAAGCTTCTTTCGCACAAAGTCAGCCAGCAGCTGTTGTCACAAATGTGGAGGGAAAGTACTCTGGCATCAGACACCTGCGGGTACACATCCCAACTCGCCCTTGCCAGCAGTGGTACATGGAGTCTGTTTACTTCACCTCCGTGACCTCCATCTGCTTGTCCAAGAAGATGAGAATAGTAGTACTCACCACTATGGGACCTCTGGAAAGATTAAATCCAGTAATTTAGACAAAGAGCCAGGAATATAGTACAAGTTTTGTAAATAGGAGTTATTGCTGTTTTTCCATTTAGCTGGAGTAGAAAATAATGTCAGTGTCAATATTATTACTCCCATTTTATGGATGACAGATATTGAAGCATAGAAGAAAAAAAAGCAAAGTGCTCAAAAATTATACCGAGACAGTTACTAAAACAGCTCACACAAGAGACCCTTCCCATTAGCCAGTGATGGATCTCTTCCACATCCTGCAATGAACATGTATCCCCTTCCTGGGGTTGCAGTCCTGATTTATTCTCACTAGCTCTAGGTTCCCTGGAAAGAAACTGTTAATTCAGTTACAGCGATTACCATCTGGTTCTCTGGTTTATTGCTGTAATTTCTCTAAAGCAAGCATTCGTGGGTAAAAATGCCATTCTGCCTTTACATCGCTTAAATGAGAAAATGAGAAAAGGCATCTCTCCGTGTTCATGCAGCACAAGACTTCAGCAGCCACGTGGTGCCTCCACGAGTGCATGCTCAGACATGTCCGACCCTTTGCAACCCCATGGGCTGAAGCCTGCCAGGCTCCTCGGTCCATGTAATTCTCCAGGCAAGAATACTGGAGTGGGTTGCCATTTCCTCTTCCAAGGGATCTTCCCAACCCAGGGATTGAACCTGCATCTTCTGCATTGGCAGGCAAATTCTATACCACTGAGCCATCTGCGAATCCCCCGTGTGGAGCCTCCAGTCACCTTTTAAAGCCAGAAATTGCCTGGAAAAGATAGGGATGGAAAGAAGAGTGCTCTGTGAGCACATGTGGGAGTGGGGCCTGGAGGCCACCATGTAGATGGTGCCAGTCACCTGGGAAAGTTCCGGTAGGGGTGACGTTCTTCACTTGGCATGGAACCCTGACACAGAGTAAGAGCTGGGGTTTATTTGGCAAATGCACAGCTTTCACTGTGCCAGGTACTCCTCTGAGGGCTTCCCAAGTACTAATTCATTGGTGCTCACAAACAGCCTGACAAAGGACTATTATTATTCTTACTTCTTAGGTAAGGAAATTGGGAGGTTGCACAGAGAGGTTAAACAACTTGCCTGAGGTCACACAGTTAGGAAGTTGCTGATCCAGGATCTGAACCCTGGTAGTTAGATTGTAGGTATGGAGTTGAAAATGAATTTCCCATGGAGAGAATCAATAACGTGTAGCTAGAGCTGTATGTAGCCTGAGTTGAACAAATCTGAGCATGAATGAAAGGCCTCAGTGGACATCAGTTACTAACACCGAGAAAGGGGATGAAGGAGGCCCTTCCTAACCCCATGTGTGGGGACAGGGTGAGTCAAGATGGTTATAACAGCACCTTGTTGTTTAGAACAGGATTTCTTCAAAAGGAATCTGGTATCTCAGTGCCCCTGAGAAGTGGGAGTTACTATCCTATTGTACAGACATGCAAACTGAGGTTCAGAGAGGTTAAGGAGTCACCCAGCCTAGAAGTGCAGCACAGAGGCTCAAAGCCAACCTGCAGGTCTCTATATCCCATGCTCTTTCTCTGCGTCTTTCAGCCTGGCTACCAGATTTCAGCATTAGAGAAGAGGGTGGGCCCCACAGGGCCCCACCCCCTGTAATGTACACACAGGGATATTCCGGGCTTGAGGCATGATTTGTGCTGGGTACCTTCTGCATGCTAGCTGACGCCCATGTAACGGGTAAAGAAATGAAGTCTCACCCAGCCAGGAGGGGGCCTAGCTGGGCTCATACAGATCTCTTCCCCCATGTCACCTCCTGGACAGTTACATGCAAGAAGCCTTCCTCTCCTGGACTCTCTCCCACCTAAAACTCCTGCCTCCGAAAACCTAAAATGGGCACACTGGTACAGGGGCCCCCCCTAATGTGGAGTCTCCTTCCCTGCTGCTGATGGGCTTACCAGATGCTTACTGATGCTTTAACCAGAAGAGTGATAACCCTGGGCAGTCTCCTGTGAGTCAAGTACCTCCAAGAGTGTTAGAAGGTAGTGCCATTCCACTTGAGTCGGGTCCCCATGCAGGGCCTCCTCTGTACCCCATCCCTGCCATGGAGAGGAGGCCTGTGCTGCTCCCAACCTACCCAGCCAGGGCCTGGGGGACTGGGACTCTGACCCTCAGTTTCACCCTCCTCCCAGAACCCTGACCACAGAGGCCCTTTCCCAGCCATCTCATGTTTGTGTTTTTTTTCTCTGTTTAGGGCTTTATTTCTCTACAAGGGACCCAGGTGACTGAACTTCTTCCTGGCCCTGAGGACCCAGGAAAGCACCTTTTTGAGATCAGCCCAGGTAGGCCTGAGCACCCTTCAGCTCTGTGCTGGCACTGGCCCTGGTGGCCCCAGTGGGGGTGTCACCACAGCTCTGGCCTGGGAAGGGCCATCTTTACAACACTCCTCTCTGCACAAAAGTGAGCTCTGTCTCTAAGCACAATTCAGAGATTCGGGTCAAATCTAGATGATCTTGTAAATTTGGGGAGAATTTCAAAAACTCAATCAATTATCTAGGTAGTTAGCTTTGATGAGAAGAAAATGTGGATTTTAAAATTCAAAATAAAACAAGAGAGGAAAGCAATCAATGAGGATGCCTTAGAGTGAAGGTCCAAACACAATATCTGAGTCACATGAAAATAAGTCCAAGAAAAACCATGAGCACAGGTATAGAGCATTAAAATAAGCTCTATCATGAACCCCAGAACAGAAAACTGAGATGTAGGGAAATAATTTAACTCAAAGAACTGCTATTATATTTGCAGTTACAAAGCAGGTTTTTAAAGTTCCCAGTTTTAAAATGTGATTCTTACTAAGTCAATGCGTCTTGCAAATCAATCAGTCTGTTTATACACGGGCCAGCTTCTACAGAGAGGTGGCGTTTTACTAAGTTTGACCTATCCTAGAGGCAGAGCTTCAGACAAGGAAGCTGAGTGATTTTTCTGGAGATGAAAGCACATACGACGGGGAAAGGAGCAGGAAGAGGGGAGAGCCAGCAGGATGTACTGGTGAGCCAGTGCTGCCGTGAGCACCGGGGCTCAGCTCCAATGGAAGGATTCAGAGGCGTTTCACCCAAGGAGTGAGGGGGCTGCGGGTCTGCCCACCAACTCCCACCAGCCGTTCACTGAGAGCTGCTCCATGGGAGGCTGACTCTGGCATTTCCGGCCTGCCCTGCACTTGGCCAAGTTCCCTGTATTCAGAAAAAGTCTTTAGGCAAAGTTGCAGGTACTTAAGGAAAGAGGCTGCCAGTGTGGATGGGAACATGCGAGTGTTGGGGGATCTGGGCAGGGCACCAAGAGCGTCAGTTACAGGCAGCTCATCATCACATCCAATCATGCGTCATCTGAATTTTGACTTTCTTCTGGGAAGTCGTGGCTGTGGACCGAGTGTGCCAAGACCTCACTGGCATCCGTGAGCCAGTACATGTACGGTCCCAAGTGGCACGGCCACCCAACCACTCTGATGAAGTGATCTGGCCACGGGACAGGTCAGCCCAGGCACAGATCAGCCCAGCAAGCTATGGCACATTAGGAGCGGAAGTGAATGGATCCAAGCCTGGGACAACCAGTATTCACCTTTGCTCTGTCCATACTGGGAGCTCCAGGACACAGTTTGCAGGTTAAGTGCAGGGAGACCCTCCCAATTGCATGCTCCATGTTGAAAATTCAAGTACCCATGGTTTCATTTGACTACTTCATCTAGAATCTTAGTGCTGAAAGTGCACATTGGAAGGTGGCAACAGAGGGACCCCAGGGTATGGAGTGGAAAATAGAGGCTTGGTTGACTCTGGAACAGGAGTCAAGTAGAGAAGGTACCTTCTGCTGAGAAGGTAGAGAAGAAATGGCAGAGAGGACTGAGGCAAGCAGGGCTCCCAGTGTAGGGGAGGAGGAGCTGGATTCATGGAAGGAAGGCTTGGGGGAGCGGCCAGGGGCCTGGGCCTGGGAGTTGGAGAGGAGTGAGGTGAGGCCAGATCCAAAAAGTGGAGGTCAATATGCACCACCATAAATCCAGAAAGACCCTGGGCATGTGCCCCAAGGACCAGATGGGGATGATCACAGGTGTGCATGCTCTTTATCTGGTCAGAGCTGCTTACAAAGATTTCTTGGACTCTGTGGGGGAGAAGACCATTTGCCATGTAAGGTAACATATTCACCTTAGGGATGATTGGCCTCAGGATTCTAGGGATTAGAATGTGGACATCTTTGTGGGGCCATTATTCTGCTGCCATAATACTCAAGACATCCCACTAAGGTAAGGGGTGCTTCCGTGCCCAGTCTATAAAAAAGGACACTGGGGATTAAAAAGAATTGGTCACTTGCCCAACAACACACAGCTGGATGGCAGTGGGGTCAAGACTTGTACCTGGACAGCCTGACTTCCAAAGTCCTCCAACACAGGCACCTCTTACATGTCTGGTAATTTCCCTACCTGGGCCGGAGAGGTCTAGGGAGGGAATCAAGTCTCCCCACACTCCTTTATCCCAAGCACAGCAATGGTTGAAGTGCCAGATGTATGCAGGTTCCAAACACTGCCTGCCTGCCTCTGTCCTCTTGCTTTTGAACAACTCCTGGAGGCCCGGAACGATGGTGAGGGCAGCTGTGAGACAACTCGGGGAAAGCGGATCAGGTGGTAGGCAGTGAGGGGTCCACACAACCTTTGGGGAGAGCCGAAACGGGAAGACTTGATCACCTCAAGTGGATGCATTTTTCTGGCCCGGGAAAGCCAGGCAGTGGTGCGTGTCGGCCACACCCAGTACCCCAGAGGGAGGGAAATGTGACAACTCTTGGACACGTGACAGAAACACAGGAATGAAAATGCATGAGATCAGTCACATGAATTTTAAGTCATCTGTGCTCTTCAACGGTATTAAAAAGAATCACAACTTTTCATCAAGATAGAATTTAAAATGAGGAAAAATTACTCTGTGAGCGCCATCTAGTGGAGAGACATGCCAATTCTATGCCGGCTGCGCGTGTCCTCCAGCTTCTCCCCCAGCCAGCCCCCAGCCTTCTCAGCCAGGCAGCACCTCTGATTCTTGACAGACCCGACAGTTACTATATAGTGGGGCTGCAGCTCGAGCCAGTTCTAGCCGCAGAGACCTGACCTCCACCGTCACTCCAAGGCTAGCTCCTGGCTCAGGCCTGAAGGAGTCAGGCCCCCGGAAGGGGCTGGAATTCAAGGACCCTGGGTCTCCTTCCCACCTGGACCTCTTCTCCAGCCCCAAGTTGTCTGGCAAAACCCAGCCCTCTCAGCCCTTTGAGAGCTGTCTGCCCTGTGCTGACTTGATCCTGTTGGCCTACCAGGCATCTGGCCATAGGCCAAACACAGGCCTTCCTCCGAATCTACAGGCTAGAGTAGGGAGGAGAGGCCTGCTGTAATGCTCTGGACAAAAAGCTGCTAAACTCACAAGATGCTCGTGTTTGGTACCCCAAGTTAAGTGACCCGTAAAGCAGTATAACTCATTGCTAACATCCTCTGGTATGAGCCTGATGCTACCACTGCCCACTGACTACAGGGATTCAGATGGTAGCGCTAAGTCTTGCTAGTGAGTGACTGCTGGGCTATCATCGCTCCTCTGTTGCTGGGCATATCTTTCCAGAGTCTGCAGTGGCAGGTGGCAGAAGCCAGTTCTGACCAATGTAGGCAAAGGGGAAATAGCCAGAAGCTATGGGGCCATGCAGAATCAACCCCCGGGAAGCTGGAGAGGTAGGTGTGGAAGGGGCAGCAGCAGGGCTGTGCAGGCCCCCCAGAGCCAGGAACAGAGAGTGCGAGGGGCTCCGTGCAGGGAGAGCTGCGTCAGGGACGCCGCTCTCTCCAGTCCAGGTGGTGACGATGGCTCAGGGTCTGAGGTCCGAGTGGCTTTGTTTACTACCCCTGGTAGGCACAAGGACCCCACTCCTACTCCTGCCAAACTGAACTCATGTGCTTCCAGGGAAGAGAGAGCAGGTACTCTGCATCAGAGTCCTTGGCTGGGGCCAAGTGTCATACTGATCATGGCTCTTTCTGCAAATCCACACCAAGGCCCCAAGTCTGGGTCCCTTTCCAGGCAGCACTTCCTCCTGGAGGGCGAGGACCCCAGTGTGCAGAACTGAGGATAACCCAGGTGAGATGTGAACGGCTGCCCAGAATCTCAGAGCAGGACGGTGCTGTCTTCTGGAGCAGGAGGAAGATACACAGGGGGTCACGCTGCTCTGACATCTGGGCCTGGTTCCCATCGCAGAGTGCCTGTCTGCTTTGGGCCCTGAAGACCACATTTCTCAAGATGGAGTGCTGGAAGCTCTGGTGGGGGACACTGCCCAGTTCAGAGGTCTGGCAGGTACCCTCCCCCTAACATACTGTTTGGGACCCCCACCTACTCCCCAGACACTGGGTGGGCATCCTGCAGGCAACAGGCCTGGGTGGGGATGGCTTTGAGGCCCTGGGTTTTCAGTTCCACCCAGGCATTGGGGGCTGAGGTATGAAGAGAGTGAACAGTAGCACCCTGTGGAAGTTGGGAAGATGGTGGGTTGAACCCAGGCTTGCCAGCAATGCCTCTGCTCCCTAGAGGCAGGTGTCTGCACACAGAAAGGAAGGTTCCAGGGGAGAGTCGGAGGCTGAGCCCATGTGCCATCCCACTGTTTGTGCCTGTTCTCTGCATCTCCCAGCAGGACATGTGTCCCCACAGCACCCAGCTCTGACCAGCTCCCAACTGTTCTCTCCAAAGTCAGAAAGAACTGGTCAGAAGCCCGACCCTGCCACCCAGGGCCTGCTGGTTTCAGACAAGACACTCAAGGTCCCCATGCCTCCATTTCATCACTTATAACTTGGAGATAATAAAGCCAAGTGCCTTGGGCTTGGTGAGGATGCAGTAAGAGCCCAGGGCCTGGATCAGCATTGATTGACGCTGATATTTTTTTCATTCTTCCCTGCTCCCTGCAGTCTGTCTTTTTATCCTTATTATTAATGATAACAACACAGTTCCCGTTTAGCTATCACCTGTAAGTTATCAATCCCAATACTGTATGATGCCTGCCCCAACAAGGGTATCCACAGGGCTGAGGGCCCAGAGCAGAGGGTGGGGGTGGCTCACCTGGGTGGTTGGGGAAGATTTCACTGAAGCTAAGCCTTGACAGGGAAGGGGAAATGACCCAGCTGAGCAAACAAGAAGATCAGCCCTGGAATGGTCCAGGAGAGGAGAGAGTACACAAAGGCACAGAGAGCAGGAGAAGTAGGCTGTGCAGGAGACGTGGTGTGTAGACGACAGCAGTGGAAAGGAAGGTAGGGGTCTGGCCATAAAGAGCCTTGGATGCTGGACAGAGAGGC